TTGTTTTATGCATTGACGATCGTCGCTTACAACAGCAATGTTGCAAGGTAGGCACAGAGCAATGGCCTGACTTCTGAATTCTTTGTGTGCCCATGCCTATTTTATCTTCTTGAGCGGGGCAGCGACTGGAGCAGTTAAAAGGTTGACGGGCAGCGTTGGTACGCCGCATTGCTCATTTACTTAACACTTATCGACGACCACCGTAGTTATATGCTGGTTAACTAATCTATGTGCACCTGGATCACTGACCATCTTCATCGTTCATTACACAAGAACGTTTTAAATTATTTCATTTAAATTTTGCTCTAGTCTGAGCAGATATCTGTAATAAGGTATTTTTGTCCAGTGGCCTGATAACTTTAGCTTGATTCTCCTATAACGTTGAAATGGTACCCATTATAGATTTGTAAGATTGCTCGGGCTTCAGTATGGATTCTTCGAAGTTCCCACATGACGAGCATAATCATGCCAAGCCATTTTGTCCTTAGCAGCTTGTATCCAGTTCCTTCCCGCTATTTCGTCTACGTTCGTCCGCCACTTCCTTGGAGGTCGCCCCGGAGTGTTCGTTTTCTTTCCCTCGGGTATTATTCGGCAATACTCGAGGTCAATCGATTGTCATCAAGACGCGCGACGTGATCTGCTCAACGGATCTTGCTCTTTCTCTCTCATGGTTCGCACGATATCTTGCACGCCACTCATTTTGTGAGAGATTTGTTATCGAAACGGTCACGAAGAGATATTCCAAGCACACTTCGTTTCATTGCTCTCTCCTTCATAACATGTACATTTTCTTTTGCCGTCGCCGGTGCCCACGTTTCGCACCCACTAAGTCATTGCCTTCAGCACTATGCTGTTGAAGAGACGAGCACTGTCTTTCTGGTCTGATATTTTGAGGACATTAATCATGGCATAGAACTTGCGCCATCCGCAAGCCCTTCTACGTGTAATCTCCGGATGGAGATCATGGCACATATTCAATTCTTGGCCTAAATAGCCATAGTTGTTGACTTCTTCCAAATCCGCACCGTCTACCTGCAAACTGGCCTTCGACACTTCGCATCACCTTCGTTTTCGCTGCGTTGATTTTAAGACCCACTTCTTTACTTCGTTCGTTGAGCTTCTGTAG